GACTTGAAAGGATTCTGACGATGGTGTATACCGTACTTCTTTTGGCTTATTTTGGACTTCATCCATCGCCTGGTATGTAATAGACAAAAGACCACGACGTTTCGGAGACTTGATCTGTCTCCGTCTTCGGGTGGGTAGGGAAAGATAAACCTACTCAGTTGGGCCCGTTAGAAAGAGCTAGTCTCAATCAATCTTTCTAAGGGGCCCAACTGAGTAGGTTTATCTTTCCCTACCCACCCGAAGACGGAGACAGATCAAGTCTCCGAAACGTCGTGGTCTTTTGTCTATTACATACCAGGCGATGGATGAAGTCCAAAATAAGCCAAAAGAAGTACGGTATACACCATCGTCAGAATCCTTTCAAGTCTATCCAAATGTAAACGCGTTCATTAAGATTCTTTCCCACTGGAATTACATTTATTCGCCGGTTTCGGACAGCAAAGCGGTACCGTGTACACAAGAGACGCGTATAATGCAAGTATTTTAAGTCTCTTATGTCACGTGATGATGTGCATAAGGCCGGCGAGGAATTTTCTTACAGCCTGCATGGTAGAACATTTGCCTAACTGGAGATCTGTTGAGCCCTGTTAACAGTACTTGGTGTAAATATAAGTTAGGGTGGGCTCGACATGACGTCTCAGACGATATCAAAATAACGCAAGAGAAATTTATGAAAAAAAAAAAAAACAAATTCTCTGAATGAGTGGACGAATTCCGTGACAAACGGGAGAGGAATCTGTACTGGTTCCTGCGAAAGTAAGAGTTGGAATATGTCGAAGAACGTCTCCAGGGAAGGATTTTTGTGGTGCTCACTTATGTGATTAGAAGACTGGTCAACGTCCGTCAGTTAAGGGTTAAGTTCTTCCCGTGCTTTGCCAAAATCTTCGCAAGCGATTAGCCGTGTCAGTGTTGAGTTCAAAATCAATGTTTTGGAGATTTGCTCCGATACCAATCATGAGGGTCGACCTTGATCTACAAAACGTTTTCTTTAATTCAACCCGCCTGATTGTCAGAGAAGACTTTAGCACATTTCATAGCCGTGACAGCCTCTAACCTTATAAACCAACAAACAATTTTGCGAATCAGAATGCGGACATGCAACGACCTCAGTTTGAAACTAATATTCAGAGACACATATATTGTGACGTGTATACCCATTGCTGGGCAACGACTCGGTAAACACATTACCGCGGAAGCAAACGCGTGCAACAACAGGACGTCCACTGTTAGACAATGGATCAGTAAACACGCCTCCTTCAAAAGGGGCTGTTTGCTGTGTGGTCCGTGCAAAGTGATTATAAAGAAGTGTTAAGCAGCCGAGAGAGCAGTGAAGTTTGGAGAGTTGTTGTTAGAAGGTGAGAGAGTTCAGTTGAGTTAGTTGCTTCGAGAATTGGGTCGAGTTCTGGGGACGGCAGTCGAAGGTGACTGAGAAGAAATGACAAGGAATGAATTAGACCGTGCAAAGACTTCATGTGTGATTTGAAGTGACGGTGAGACTGTTACAAATCCGTTGTCAGGATACAACTAGTGATGAGTGAGAACACTAGTGCGTGTGAAAAGGTGCGTATATCAGCGTATTGCCTGCACTCTCGAGTTCTGAATGTACAATATGAGGTGCAATTAATGGAATCATCCAATCCAAAACCCGCCGTGTTAGTCACCCTGACACGTGACAATCCGTAACATGAAAAGCTGCAGTATTAGCTGTCTCATAGCGGAATCGGTAGCAAAATCTGCTTCGCGGAAATGTCTAGCCACGTAGCCTTCTGTCATTTTTCTTACTTTCACATACACACAGAGTAACCGTAATTGTAAAAATATGAGTAACTTGTAAATCGAGATCTTTTTACAAAAATGCAAGTCCTAGATGTCCAAGTACATGTATTTATTATTTTCACTTTCAGCGGTTTCAACTGGGAATGTGAAAGTTGAGTTAGGCCAAGTCTATGTTTAGTTTAATGGCTGTCTAACACAATTTAGTATATCATGTCAGAACTGATCAATAAAGTACATTTAAACCTTTCGATACTGCGTTACAAGGAAGTAGTCGTTTGTCATATGTTAACAGATAACCGTAAATGGTGAAATAGCTGAAATGATTAGGAGAGCAGACCAATACATTCACCAATATCATTAAATGTCCCACATATTCAGATCAGGCCTGCCATGTTTCTATGCAATATACTACGTTCACAGCACGGAGAGGCTTAATGTATTCTAGTATGTACGCCAGCATAAAGTAAGTTGGAATAATCAGGAGCTTCTAATGCATAAAGTGCATAACTAAGATCACCAGAGGCTCCGGCCGGCCGCCAACTACAAACAGGGTCATCCTGCTCTCTAAATGAACTGCCCGCACTTGCTCTATACTGTAAAGGTAAAGCTATCCCTGTAACAGGCCGTGGAAGCCCATAGGGTTGTGTGACGTCGAGGCTCCCACATTTTCACTAGACAATCGGCTCACAGATGGCGGTGAGGTTGTCAGCCTTACGCGCCGGCCGCCTTTTACCCCACAGGAAGATTCCTGGTATTCATTCCTGTTAGAGGCTGTGTCGACCCCAGGGCCACAGTGCGACTGGTCGGATTAGGTTAATTGAAAAACCCAATGACCTCATCGGGATTCGATACCGCGACCTTCCGGCTTGCAACACAATGCCTCTCCTTCATACTGTGGCCAATGTAAACGAAGCTAAAAAAATTAATACGTTATATTTATTCCAAAATAAGCACCGTGATAAGCGCTGAGAAGTAAAATAAGAATACTGCTTAGAGTTTGAAAATAAAAAGAGACAGACATGACAAGTGATATAAAAAGTCGACGGGCAGAGCCGGCACAAGCCTAAATGTCACTACAGAGAACGAGAAATTACACCGACCCCTTCAATTAGAAATAGATCAACCTGCTCAAAACTACGTCACAATTAACAACATGAAATTTCCTGACAGTGATGAAAACCGCCACTGGTGACTTAATCCTTAAAACGAGATATATTTACATTGCTGCATAGTAACTTTACATGGCTATCAATTAATGGTCACGATATTCAAAGAGCACCAGAAATTAATTTTCATTGAACGAAAACAGAAAAAAGTGTTCCAAAATGTGTCATCATTCAAACCGCCCGCCCCAAACGGCTGCTTGTTTTCACTTGTATCGCCACTTCCGCCCCATGCGTGGCGATTTCCAACGAACATGAGAAATGAAGGACTTGATACTGTCTGTGCAGAATCACTGGTTTCGGAGACCATGTCTGCGGCATCCTGCAACAACTGCACCTTCCAGGACACACAGTTCCTGGCAGGATCTTGCGGCGCCACGTTCACACTCTTTATGGGTCTAGTCGAGTACCTTGTGAGCTCAAAGGATGACATTGCCGATGCATGCAACCGTCCGGGTCGAGAAAGCGTGAAGGTAAGTGCGAATATTCTGGCGTTCTTTACAGCGCCACTCCTTGCAACATACCAACTATTGTGTGGGTACGTCACATAAAGGAATCAGCAACAATACTAAACGGATATTACCGTGACCCGCTCTTGATCCTTGCCGAACCAGCAGCTGCTGGAAGCCGCATCTCTCAATGTGAGGAGGTTCTCACAGCGGTGGTCACGAAGANTATAAAGGAATCAGCGACAATACTAAACGGATATTACCGTGTCCCGCTCTTGATCCTTGCCGAACCAGCAGCTGCTGAATCCAAACGCATCTCTCAATGTGAGGAGGTTCTCACAGCGGTGGTCACGAAGAATTTTATTTTCTGGGATATAACGCCATGTAGTTCCCTGAAAGTCAACAGACCTTCCGGAATTCCAGGGCCGCACAATAAGCCAAGCAAGAAACCAACGTGAAGCAGATAGCAAGAAGAGCAGGCTCTCATTTTACCCTGAAGATGGAGGCGAATTGGCGTTATATCCCAGCAGATAAAACTCTTCATATTTCCCAATGACAATAAAGTTTTACACGATGTTTCAAGGGATTTCTGTCGTTATGACATACTTTGAACGATGCCTATTTCTGTCGGTAACGGACCAGTCCACGGAGCACTGCATTTCTTTGTGTGACTACTCAGTGGCATACGTGTATACTGCAGCCACGGAACCAAGTCCCCAAGAAGGAGGGGATAACGGAGATGGACTATTCCCATTACATGCCTACTGTTGCATTCCTCTTGAGCTTCGTGTGGTGTATATCAATTAGCGCAACTTACTGTCGCTATAGTAGGTTATCACTACAAACACTTGCGGGAACAGAATGGATAGGCGACTGGAGGGTACGTATATTGGAGGGGGAAATGTTACAGCTCCTGGGAGATACGGAGATGATCGATCCAATGCAATTTCTTTCTGTGGCCTTGGCACTGACTAAGAATCCCTGTAATCATTCAGTAAAAATGTACAGGAAACTACATTAATCTATTTTATTAATGTCCCTGTGCTTAACTAATTAAGCATTACGACATGAAGACGAATGGGGGAGTGGAGGTATAGATCCATATTTTCTTGATCTAGACATTAGTTGGAGTTGAGAGGTCAGTTTCACGCCCCGGCCGCTTTACCCCCGTGAAAGAGCCCCCGGTACCCATTGTATAGAAAGTTGAAGAAGTAAAAATTCTTAACCTTACCGGGACTCGAACTCCGACCATTCGGTCGTCCAGCCCATAGCCACTCGCTATCCCGGCTCCTATTACTAAGACTATATGAATATAATTAGTGTTATCATGGTACCCACGCCAGTGTTAACCGTCGGAAGCGTGAAGTTCATCTAATTAATCTTTAACGATTCTGTTGCTGTACAGAAAACACAATGCGTCTCCATTAGGACGACCGATTTGTTAATATGGGTGAGGGAAATAATTCCTGTTTATTTGAAGAATCGAAAGAAAAATATAAATAATATAAATAAAAATAAAAATATAAATTCATCATGGGAGTAAAATGGAGAGTATTTTCTTAATGCCAAAGCAGGAGGTACATACAGAAACCACTGTGTAAAGGTTCGGCCACACAGAGCGCTACGTACGCTATGTTCGCTATACGAACAGAAAAATATCTCCCTTTATTGCGAATGTGACTGGCCACACAGACTTCCGTACGCTACGTACGCTGTTTTCCCTACGTTAGCTGCGTCGCAGAGTGTGCACAGCGTACGTAGCGAACATAGCGTAGCGCTCAGTGTGGCCGAACCTTTAGACTCAAGTGGGTCCAGACTGATTCTCGGACCCCATTCTTCATCCAGTCTATACAGTGCTTATTCATTCCCCGGGGGGCGAAATTAGCGGCTACTTACTTCCATTCAGTACCGAGGTCTAAACGGTTCTCAGAGTGTTTCCAGCTCAGGTTCTCTTGACTGAATAAAAAAGCTGGGCTCCGCAATCTATATACAGCGGAGTCAGTAAATAGGTCACAAATGGAAGGAAAAGCAGCTGTAATGGTCTAATAGGTTCCCTATGTGTATCTCTAGGCAGCAGCACAGGCCAGCTGGGCACTGCGAAACCATTTCTGTATATACATGTTTCTTTTTTCAAATAAAAATGTCTAGATAGCAGACACGTATGCGCATGTTCAGAGGCTGGTTTTAGTAGCCAAAATGGCACCCGTGCTTAAGGAGTATACTACCGAAGAGCAGCGTTCTGTTGTGGGTTTTCTGTGGGCAAAAGGACTCAATGCAGAGGATATTCATAAAGAAATGTTTCCTGTTTCCGATGGAAAGAGTTCATCATGTAAAGAGGTCCACAACCGGGTTGTGAAATTCTCTCAAGGGCGTTCGAAAGTCGCAGATGATGCCCGACCAGGTCGCCTTGTTGAGATTGCGACAGAAGCAACTTATGCAGTGCGTGGAAGAGTTGATTAGAGCTGACAGGAAGATAACAATAGATAGCACAGCAACTCCACTACGGAGTTCCCGTGGTTTAACATACAGCATAACGCACGGAGGTTTGAAGTTTCTGAAAGTGTGCGCATGGTGGGTGCCCAGAGAACTGATGGGTCGTGAAAAAATGAACCGGATGGGTTGTCCTCGCAACATCGCTTACGGTATGAAGATGAAGATATGCTTAACAGGATGGTTCCTAGGAACGAACCATGGATGCATCACTACCGACCCGATTCAAAGCGCGCTTCAATGTAATGGAAACATCCCAGTTCGCCTTCAGCCAATAAGTTTAAGGTTATGCAATCAGCTAGGAAGGTTATGCTTACCATATTTTGGGATTCTAGGGGACTACTCTTAGCCCATTTTTCAGAAGCGTTGTGAAAATGTGAATTCTGCATCGTACTGTGAAGTTATGTTGAAGCTACGGGATAAAATTCGCAGAAAATGTCTAGGCTAACTGGAAAGAGGGGTACTGCTTCTTCACGACAATGCCAGACCCCATACAGCCCGAGCAACCCAGGAGAGAATTCAAGAACGACAGTGGGAAATTCTTGAATATATGACTTACAGTCCGGACTTTTCCTCTAGAGATTTCCGTCCGTTTGGTCCGCTAAAAACCACCTTGGTGGCAAATATTTCGCTGATGAAGAGGCTGAAATGGAGGAGTGGAAGTGCCTGAGACAACAGTCAAAAGACTTTAATGCTGCAAGTTTCGACGCACTGGTAAAGCGATGGGACAAATGTATGAATGTTGGGGGAGGATATATCGATTCATAATTTTTTTTTCAGGTTCGAGTATCAAATGCTTTACGTTTTATATCCATTTGTGACATACTTACTGACTCGCCCTCGTACATGTCTTAAAATGTGATTTTTCAGCTTAAAATAATAAGTAATGAACATTAATGTATTACTTATTGTATTAAATTATGTATATGCATTTTAGGTGGTCTTCTAGGATCAGAATTAATTTACCATGTTTATTATCTTTATTGGTGTCCACGGGGAAAGTTTCACGGCTCCCTCAGGGACGTCGATTCAAATTTTGGGAGATGTTGGTCTAAAATACGTGGAAATTTATTTGCAACATACGCAGATACACGAGCAACTTTAAATATCTGGTCCCGTATTTCAGGGGATGGAGACTGCCGAATACGACTTCGTGGTGGTTGGTGCTGGAATTGCTGGTTCAGTGGTGGCATCTCGTCTCAGCGAAAACCCGGACTGGAAAGTGTTACTGATCGAAGCGGGTCCCGAGGAGCCCACAGCCACTTCGGTGCCTGCCTTCGCAGTGAGCGCCGTGGGGTCGGAACTCGACTGGAAGTATCAGACGCAGCCAGAGGGCATGGCCTGTCTTGTCACTGGTGGCATCTGCAACTGGCCCAGAGGTAAAGCTAGCAGAATAACAGAGCAGGATGTAATGAGGTCAGACCACTGAGCGAGGATGGATTCATCTACAGCGCGATCACCTGAGAGCTTCCCGAAAATCGTTATGCAGCTCAGGCGGCGGAGACAGAAGCTCCTTGCGTCAACTTGTGCCGTACAGATTCGATAAACTAAAATGTTGGGCGTTATGTGCCCGCCGGCCGAACAGTAATCCCCAAGCCACAGCTACAGTATTAAACCTTTAATCAATCATGTTATTTCTTTACATCTCTGTCATGTTACATAACGCGTTGAAATGCCACGTGTGAGATAAACGCTGGAATAACGGATGTTCCCTATGACACAAAGTGGATGAGGAGGAAAAATAATGAGAAGTTTCTAATATAATTTCCCGAATTTTACAGTTCCAAACACAAAACCATCCATACAATCGTGAAAAAATTAAGATATGGTCGTTAATGAACAAAAAGGACCCAATAAAAATTCCAAATGCTTAATGAAATCTGTGCGAGGACTGCACATTCTCGAAAATCCTTCAGAGGCCTTGTACAGGAGCTGGGTTTTCAAAAAAGCCAGAACGAATTGCCACAAACTCCTGAAAATGAAACTATATGAGGCGACAGTAGTCAATCAGAACACAACGCGTACCTCACTTCACGGTAGCTATTCAGCTGTTTACTGGGGTGACACTGAAGAGAAACCGTAATGTCTATAGGGTCTATGTATAGTCAGCCAGAGGCCCGAATCTGTGGGATACGCGTTCACCGAGGAGCGTCTGTCTGTCTGTCAGACCTAAACGGCAGAACGAATTTTTGGTAATTCTCAATCGACAGAGCTATTCAATAGCGAAAACGGAAGGCCATTTTAAATAATTGTATTTTCTCGCAGTTGGTACTAATTTACTATTAAGATAGATAAATGCAATGGATTTCTTTTTTCTATAAATAATACCGGTTTATAAATATTATTACTCAGTGTTACGAATGAACAATCTCATTAGACTCGACCTTGAGATCTTTCAATCCGGTCCATTTCATCACAACTTCGTTTTTTTAGGTAATTTCAAAATCGTCTTCCTCCCATCTCACTCCATAAATAAACAAATAAATAAAATAGTACATTTAAGATCTGAGGTTTTCATGGCGGTGACTATTTAGTAGCCTCAACTTTGGCACGGCCTCATGCCCATAATTAAGTCGCGACCGATTCTTCTATATCCTTAAGAATTCGTCACACAAACTAGTTCTTCACTCTCAACTGGTCACATAGCATCGTCAGATAATCTATGGTATAATGACTAAAGAGCACAATTTGTTGCCTACAGGGAAGATGGTTTCCGGAACTGGAGGCATGCAAGGAATGATGTACACACGAGGCAATCCCAAGGTATACAACGAATGGGCTAAATTCGGAAACGACGGTTGGCGTTACGAGGACGTTCTGCCTTACTTCATCAAAGCAGAGAAGAATAAGAATCTCGAGCTGGTGGAGGAACGTTATCATGGAACTGAGGGTCCGCTTGTGGTGCAACATTTCCCGTATCGTCCCCCTCTTTCTGAAGCCATAGTTGAAGCAGGAAAAGAACTTGGCTACAGAACTGGAGACTTAAACGGCGCGAATCAGACAGGAATCGCTATAGCTCAGATGATGGTTGATAATGGCCTAAGAGGAAGCACCTCGAGGATGTACCTGAGGAAAGCCGGAGCGCGGGATAATCTAGACGTCCTTATCAACTCCCACGTCACCCAAATTCTCATCGATAAGAAAACGAACCTCGCCACAGGAGTGGAATTTATACAAAAGGACGGCGTTAAGAAGATTGTGCGTGCCAAGAAAGAGGTTATATTGTCCGGTGGTGCCATAGGATCCCCCCAAATTCTCCTCCTTTCTGGTGTTGGTCCGAGTGAAGATTTGGAAGAACTTGGTATCGAAGTCGTACAGGATCTACCTGTAGGTCGGAACCTTCATAACCACGTGTCGGCAAGTGTGGGCTTCTATATCAACGACACGAGTTACGAGACGCTTACTACAAAAGTCTTGCAAGAATACCTGGACACACACACAGGACCTCTGTCTGCAACCGGAATAACGCAGACAACAGCATTCTTACTGTCCAAATACGCAAGCGACGGCGTTCCCGATATTCAAGTATTCTTCGACGGCTTCATGGCTACATGTTCAAGAACAGGTTTGGCTGAGGAATGTACCAATGGCGAAATTGGTGATTGTGGGAGACGATATATCACCGCGCGTCCCACGAACATACTGCCAAAGAGCAGGGGTTACCTCAAACTTCGAAGCACTAATCCAAAGGATCACCCTCTCATATTCCCCAATTACTTTTCTGCCATGCGAGATGGAGAAGTATTGATTGAAGGAATTAAACTTGTCATTCAGTTAACCGAGACAGAAAGTTTGCAAGGGTGGGGAGCCGAGTTGGACAAGAAGCCTGCTGAAGGATGTGAAGGGCCACCGTTTGGATCCGACGAATACTGGCAGTGTGTTATACATAGGCACACAGGACCCGAAAATCACCAGGCAGGGTCTTGCAAGATGGGACCGGCCGGAGATCCCACTGCTGTTGTAGACCCTCAGCTGAGGGTTCATGGAGTTCGAAACATACGCGTGATAGATGCATCAATCTTCCCATACGTCCCTAACTGCAACACTATCGCAGTCGTCGTTATGGTAGCAGAAAAAGGTTCCGACATGCTTAAGAATACCTGGCAGTCTTCAGATAAAGCCGATAACGCGTGTCACAAATTTGGTATTTGTCAGCAATGTGACATGAATTCAAAACCGACAGTATCTCGTTCCGTATTGCAACAGTAAGTAACTCTTTATACAAGCTAGAAGGCCAGAAAAAGCACATTATTTAACATATGAACGACGGAAGACGTCTAATTGCCTTTAAACATAATCATGTGCAAAACGAACAGTCAACTCAAAAACTTCAACGTACAATGCATAAAAGTGAAGAAAGATCAATCAGACAAATGTGCAACAAGGACTTAAAATCGCATACATTTCTTTATTTTAGATGCATTTACACCATCAAAAGCTTTACGTCACTGTTTGGATACAATCTGTTGTGTGAATACTAGACAATTTCAACTCAAAATGACTGAGAATTTCAGTCTACAAAACAGAAAGGCGTCACTACTGAGCAACTCGGCCAGTATTCCACCTTGTATAATGAATAAGGGTTGGGCCCCCTTGCACCGAGAGTACAGTGGTCTATTGTGCTTAGTATTTCACCTTACTAACAGATACCTTCTGGACAGGACGTATAAACTATTCTGGTGGACGGTTGACTCAAACCGTCTTTAATTAACGCAAGCTGAAGACTCGCTGTTTGAAGAATATTTATAGCATGACAATCATCCTAGTAAGTTATTTGAGGACTCTGTGTCAACTACACAGGTTACACACTGTCCTGACAGACTCTAAGCCAATGAAACTCCGATAGATAGGCTATTTCTCTTATATATCAGTCTGTCCGCCATTTTACTATGACGTATCACATGTAAGAGGCGTAAATCATTTGATGGTACAATTTTATGTCACTGATCATCCAACCACTGATATAGTATGATACTGTAATTATAAAATATTTAAACACAAATTTAATACTTTCAGATGCAATGAAGCATAAAGCAAAAAAGAAATATTTTACAAAGGATATAGTGAGGTTAATATTTTGTTTCTCCAAATTTGGCATGACAACTGAGAACATGAAAGCAACGATAAAAATATTCCTCACATAAACCACCAATTAAACTCCTTTTAATAAAATTTATCCTATTAAATGCAAAAACGGAAAATCTGATAATTTAGAGAAGGCTTCGTGTAACATCAGAGACAAAATAACGGCTAGTAATTTCAAAATTAATTCAAGTGCCATAATTTAGTTTCAGCAACTGGTTTAATCAAGTCGCAATCTCATGTTTGGCATTTACTTCAAATAATTGGCAATGGAATGCGGATAAGACTGATTCTTATTGGTTAAACGTTCTGGAAACAGTAAATACAGCTGTACATTTTAAATCCTATTGCTGTTCGCAGTCTGATATGAAAAATAACTGTGATTTTGGCAATTATATTCCATAATCTTACAGCCATACGCAACAAAAATCCTAGAACGGGTAGCAATGTAGGTTCTTTAGTGGAAGTCTGTTTCGTAACAGGATACATAAACATTACAGCCTAGTTCTGTCGGGTGTTACGAGATTTCTGACCGGGGATCGAACAATACAACATTAGGAAAGAAAAAGAGGAAAACGCTGCAAAATAGAGAAGAAGATAGAAGGAACAGAGCACTTGCCTGAGTTTGGGCACTGAGGCACAAGCACAAGAAAGGAGGGAAGACTGAAATTTTCAACCATACTGTAAACTTCTTCAACAGAACATGGTAAGCATATATGGTTACCAAACATGGTAAGCACGTGTGCTTACCATGTTACCCTGTTGACGAAGTTAACAGTGTGGATGAAGATGTCAGTTTTCTTTCCTTTCGTGTGCTTGTGTCTCTGGGCTCTCACTCGGGTTAAGTGCCCTGGTCCTCCTATCATTCAACTATTTCGGACACCTTCAATGTTTCCGTTTAGAGGACGTTATGATTCTACCAAGAGGACGTGCGTTCAGACACCCGAATCTTTACAGGCACTGCTATATACGTATTTAAGTATTACTGATTTATTCCGGTCTAGAAAGCCGAAATTACAGGCCATGAAAATTCGTTGCGCTGACCACGCGACGCCATCTATCCGTTGACGTTGGCACTAACTTCGCCGACAAGCGGCGCTGGCTCGGTCGGTATAGTTCGCTTGCGGTATATACCCATGGAGTCTTTTTTATTACTGATTTATAGCCTGGCTATTTCCAACGCCCCAAATTTAATCGCAGCCTTAAACCTTAACTAGCCGAAGCACTACATAGATTTTTAGGCGAACTCTTTAGTTTAAATCAACCAAATGGAGTAATATTTCTCAGTTTATCAAAATATAACTAAACGAAATAAAACCTAAGTATCAAATTAAATATCTAAAAATTATTACAGAACGTATGAGCAGATAAATTACATTTGTGGTCCCATAAGCAATGAAAATAATCTTCAAGGAGTGTATCCTGTTGTGTTAACTTATAATTTAATTATTGTTTTTCCGTATCAACACAAGTATCAAACACTCATTAACATTTACAGTGCATAACGAGATTTCAAAGGAACTTTCCCCCCACAAAAAAAAAATACTGAAAGACGTAAAACAGCCGTCAAAGTATGGCTAAATTAGAAACATGCCTATTACATTCTAACCAAGTGATGTTACACCGAATGAAGGAACAGACTTAATCAGATTTTCACACATCACAAAATCTGCTATTTATCGCATAAGTTATTACCAGTAATACATTGTAGTAACCCTAAGAACATCTAATTTTAAGATATACATATCTATAATGAAGATAGCACCCTGTGAACCACGATTTTCTGCTAGGTGAGCAATGTTAAAGATCTTATTAACATTCCTGTGTATCACAGAATGATTATGATATTGTATTTTTGTAATAATATTTTTTATACTACTCCTACATATGAATCAGTTGTTATGATTCTATTTCTCATAGGGAGGGTAGTGAATGCTATTTAAATATTTATACCTCACAACCCATCGCCGCGGTTAGAGTAAGTAGAAATCATACTCACATGTGACTACTCATATGAAGAGTACGTTCCATACTGCAATGTACACTAGGGGCTACCCGCTGGTATTGGTTGTTTATCTGATTATTTATAAGTGAAAAGCAAATGAGAGTGCAAAGTAGCAAATAAGAAGCCATACTGTATGTTCTTTTCAAACGTGTTGTCAACTCCAGGAACTATATAATACGTAATGTTAAAGTACAATGTCGGTTAATTTTCTAAAGGAAAATATACGACCACTATACAACCACCACACAGTTTGTTACGTGATCAAACTGTGTGTTCTGGGACAGCTAATCATTGAGATCGGAAGTACGTCATAGGATGCAGGAATTTAGGTAAAACCAATAAACAACAGACGTAGTCACCATCCGCTGGACAAAATTAAATTTACGTTGTAGGCAGCGAACGTTTTGATTTAATTTCTGAAATAAGACAGAAGTAACACAGACTACACACTACGGGCGACAAACTGTTTATCTCAGAAGACTAATAATAGCACAAAGGAGAGCATAGGCCATGCATTTCCAGGCGCCTGCGCAATACCACCCATTCGAAACTTTCCTTATATAACAACATATTAATGAAAAAATTAAAGTTATCCTGTGATTAATTAATTAAGCATCACGCCATGAAGACGCGTGGGGAGCGGAAGTATAACTCCACAATTTTTTATCTCGGCACTAGAAGGAGGTGAGTGGTCAGCTTCACGCCCCTGCCGCTTTACCCCCGGTACCAACTGGATAGAACGTTAATATATTACTGTATAATAATTTATAATTGGAAGATATAATATTTATGATACTTTTAAAACTGATTATTGTTTCCAAACGCCCCAACAGCTCAATCGGCATTAACGAACAAAAAATTGGGATTCGCTTCCCGGCAGGTGCAAGAGATTTTTCTCTTCTCCACAGCGTCAAGACATGCTCTGAGGTCCACCCCGCCTTCCATACACTGGGTACCGGGGGTAAAGCAGCCGAGGCGTGAAGGTAACCACACACCTCCATTTAGTTCTGGATTTAAGAGTGGTGCATTTTATCCCTTCTCCCCCATGTCTTCATGGAGTAAAACTTAACCAACTAAGCACGATTAAATTTACCTTTTTATATGTTTTTAATGGTTGCATGAACAAAAACCACGAAAATTCAAAACACTGAAATAACTTCTTAAAAATTTAAACATAGCCGAACCTTAATTATAATTCTACCAATATACCTAAGCAATATCGTTACAGGTATAATTCAAATACCCATGCAATCGTCAAAATTCACAAAAGCGGATTTTTAGGGGCACAAAACATACCGTCATGCTTAAATATGTTTATGACGCTTCATAATAGGCTCACTTAATTAACGGTAAATGAATTTACTGAATGTTATCCTTAAAACGGTATTTCATTTTACATAAGCAGTACTCTCCTTCACAAAACTGTGGGACAGGCAAGTCCCATACGCATAAGCATGCACTGCACATAAACAGCGAATATTCACGTAAAATCAAACTAAAATTAGGAATCGTAATGATTCGATCACCTGTTTGGAAAAGCTCGTCACGAACTGGATTTTTTTCCTTGGCACTACAGCCCCAGTGGGCCTAGGCCTACCTCCATGAACTTCTCCGTTCACTTCGGTTTTTCTAGATCTTACACATTCGGTAGGACTCCTTGGGCGGGTGATCAGCTCGTCGCAAGGCCTCTACCTGTACACAAACACAGAAAAAAGCACACACACACTCTAAACATCCATGCCCTGAATGGGATTCGAACCCACGATCCCGGTTTCCAAGCGAGCGAAGACGGTACATGCCTTAGACCGCTCGGCTACCGTGACAGGCAATGAACTGGATTAGAGAGACAGACTAAAAACTGGAGGCGAAGTATATTTATTTAGTAATAACAAACAGCCTAAAAATAATCGCTGAAAGTACAATTAAAATTGGATTTCTATTATTTGCTCTAACCAGAAAGCTTTAAAAATCACGCGAATTAAATTCCTTACAGAATACAGTTATTCCAAATTACATAAAGATTTTTCACATTCAAGTATCGGTTAGATAAGACAAACACGAATCATCGAACACATGTTAAAACGATATTAACATATCACTTTCTAAAATAAATTATTATAAAAGTATACATGAACGGATGCCGGTCACGGTAGCTGAGCGGTCTAAGGCATGTACTGTTTTTGTTAGCTCGGAAGCCGGGATGGTGGGTTCGAATCCCACTGAGGGCATGGATGTTTAGTTTGTGTGCGTGCGTTTTTCTGTGATTGTATACAGATAGAGGCCTTGCGACGAGCTGATCACCCGCCCAAGGAGTCATACCGAATGTGTAAGATCTAGAAAAACCGAAGTGAACGGAGAAGTTCATGGAGGTATGCCTAGGCCCATTGGGGCTGTAGTGCCAAGGAAAAAAATATGAACGGATTCTGATAATTCTTTGATATCTCACACATTGAATAAATGCAATTTTTTCCAGTACTCTAGATGCCGTTACCAGAACCCGTTACGCAATCGTCTCATTACAGCGTTTCTAATTTCTTATGTAAAATCCCTTTGCGCTCTCTGCTGCTAAGTCAACTATTGCTATTAATATTGTTTATTTTTACTAGTGCATAGTCATGTCAAAAATTGTTGGTGAATAAACAGTACAACATTCTATATGGTATAAAACTAATTTATTCTCCTTCACGTCTCTAAAATGCATACCTAACCACAGTTACTGCAAATAAGCAATAATTATGGAAAATAAATTAGACTCAGTTACACATACCATGTCAGGTGGGTCATTTGTCACCACGACATGCCGCGTCCTCAGGTTGCGGATGGAGGAGACGCCCTCTAGTTTTGGAGGGATGGCGCGAATATAATGAATAAGCAGTCCCGGAGGGCCGACAAGGGGTGGTCCTCCAGATTTGGAGCTGTGCGTGGGACTAACAACTCCTCACAGTAAAAAATAAGCTTGTTACGAAAGATCACAAGAAGCCTCGGATAAGGACGGAGTCCTTGGATAAACCACCTAAGCGAACTGGAATTAAACGGGACACATCAGCTGTTGGTCTGTGCTGAAGATGTCAATCTACTGGGTGATAATACAGATACCATAAAGAGAAACACAGAAACTTTAATTGACGCTGGTAAGGAGGTTGGTCTAGAAGTAAACACACAGAGAAAACATATGTTGCTGTCTCGTCACCAGAATGCAGGGGAAAATCCTTATATAAAGACACGTAACAAATGTTTTGAAAATGTGGCACATAAAAACATAAAAGCTAGAATATACAAAAGTATAATTTTGCCTGTGGTTCTGTATCGGTGTGAAACGCAGTCACTGACATTAAGGGAGGAACATAGATTAATGGTGTCTGAGAAAAAAGAGTAGAGAATATTTGGACCGAAGAGAGACGAAGTGATAGGAGATTTAAGAAAACTGCATAATGAGGAGCTTCATAACGTGTACTCTTCTCCAAGTACTATAATTAGAATGATGAAGTCAAGGAGGATAAGATGGGCAGGGTATGTAGCAGGAATGCGGGCGAAGAGAAATGCATACAGATATTGGTGGGAAAAGCAGAAGGAAAGAGACTACTAGAAAGACCAAGACGTAGGTGGGTGGCCAATATTAAAATGAATCTCAGAGAGATAGGATGGGATGGTATGGATTGGATTGATCTGACTCAAGATAGGGACAAGTGGAGGGCTCTTGCGAACACGGTAATGAACCTTCGGGTTCCATAAAATGTTGGGAAGTTCTTGAGTAGCTACACAACTGGCGGCTTCTCAAGAAGGGCTCAGATCCATGAGTGACTGAGTTACACATATCTACAAAGCACCTTCAGACGGTCTGTAACGAAACAGCACTCCTAAATTCAAGAAGAGCACCTGGCATTGACGAAGTGACTCCCACAATGACAAAAGAAATGTCAAGAAAAGGGTTAGTACTTCTCACATACATATTTAATGCTATTCTCAAACATAAATACTGGCCAAATCAGCTAAAAACAGCAGAAATAATCCTGATCCTGAAACCAGGAAAAAATCCCAATAGTGCGTCATCCTATCGTCCTATAAGTTTATAAACCATCATACCTAAGCTCCTCGAAAGACTTCTCTCAAAAACATTAAGTTCTGACCCAAACACAGAAGAATGGATACCATCACATCAATTTGGTTTTAGAGAAAACCACTCCACTGTACAGCAGATACATAGAATAACACACGAAATACACCAAGCTATAGAAAGTACAGAATACTGTACATCGGTCTTCCTCGATGCAAGTCAAGCTTTTGATAAGGTATGGTATCCAGGATTACTGTACAAAATCAAAAAATATCTGCCCATCACTTATTTCCACTTACTAAAATCCTATATAAATGGCAGAGAGTTCAGAACGAGAATCAATGATAGTATATCTAACAATTTTGCAAAAAAATCAGGTGTACCACAAGGCAGTGTCTTAGGCCCACTACTTTATTTACTGCATACAGCAGACCTACCAGTCAATGTCAACATAACAATGGGCACATTTGCAGATGATACTGTGATCCTCTCAGCCAACACAGATCCAGCAATAGCTACCTTCACTTTGCAAAATCATCTAAATAAAATATAAGAGTGGACAAATACACGAAAAATAAAAATCAACGAAACCAAGTCAGTGCAAGTAAACTTCAGCCTAAGAAGAGAACAATGTCCTGCAGTTTTCTTTACTAACATACAAATACCTGAATCACCCAGCACAAAATACTTAGGTATTCATCTAGACAACCATCTAACCTGGAAGGAACACATTACTAAAAAACGCAAAGAGATTGATTTAAAAATCAAGGATATGCATTGGTTAATTGGAAGGAATTCCAAACTCTCATTAAACAACAACATCTTAGTTTACAAAACAATAATAAAACCAATTTGGATATGTGGAGTGGAAATATGGGGATGTGCTAGCAAAACCAATATTTCCATAATCCAAAGATGTCAGTCAAAGATACTATGTATGATTACTAACGCCCCACGGTTTGTTTCCAATATAACACTCCATGAAGACCTGAAAGTGCCGCTAGTAAAGGAAGTCACAATAGGGAAAAGCACAAGATACCTCAACAAAACAGAAGGACATGAGAACGTACTAATGCAACCGTTACTGGAACCGCACAGTGGACGAGGACTAAATGGGAACTGGCCAGCCGACCTGAGAGTGGGGTAAGGAGGACTTATCTCTGGATAAGCCCTCTCCACGTCACGAAGACTAATACAGCAAATTAGCTTATAGAATCAAATGTAATTCTGATTGCTAATTTTATGTAAATAAAAAAAAAAGGTCTGTGATACAGGTACTGATATACTGAAAATGAGGTTCCCAAAGCGGTGGTTGTGACAAGTTCTGTCTTCTGAAATATGACGCCGTGCAGTCTGTTGAAACACCGTAACAGAAGCATGACGTATTCGTCTCTAAGCTCAGTTTTTCTCTATACTTACTTACTTACTCATGGCCGCGCCATAGCTTAAGCGGTTAGTCGCTGGCTTCCCACCGCGGCGGCCCGGGTTCGATCCCGGGGTCTGGTCAACTGGGATTTGTGGTGAACAAAGTGGCGCTTGGGTGGGCTTTCTCCGAGTACATCGGTTTCCCCTGCCAATCTTCATTCCACCAAATTCTCCATCATCATAATCACCCGGGGCAGGCTGCAATAGGCCAATCAGTTGCCGCCGTGCCGAGTGGATTCAGTTGCACTCCACCCCCCACTAAGCGAATTAAAAAAAATCACACAGTTATTGACATTACGATGTCTTCCCGTTAAATGCAATGATAGTAATGACAAGAACTGGGAAGAAATAATCGACCACTTTCATTTGATAAGACACGGACCGCACAGGGAACGCAAAAATTTGGTAGGGGGGGATTACACAGGAACACAGTTGCACAAACAGACATACAGCAAGTGGATTTCATAAGCCTCCTATTTTCTTCAATCGTACATGGTCTTCTTGCGCCTTCCTGATGGTTTATCAGGACGTACCGTCAAGATGAAACAGGTAACGTAGAAGGGGGGAGGGGAAAGCATTTCCTAGGGACGAGTGCAACGCGTGTAATGACTTGCAAACACACTCGCCTCTTGGATGTCAAGCAAGACATACATCGCAACAAGAACGGGTAAGTTGAACAAAATGCTTTTTCATATAGTGTAACTTTGTTTCCAATTAGCACAACAACCGAACTAGGCAGTGTACCAATCTATACGACACTTTGAAGGATATGAGTTCCTCACAGCGGTGATTATGGTGAAATCTATCTTTTGGGATATAACTTCGTGTAGTCCGTCGCTCCGCTTATTCTTTGACACTGAAGATGGTGGCGACATGCTCCTCCGAAAGTTTGGCTGACATTATACGGACTATACGCCGTTATAACCCAGAAGATAGAATCCGCACCTGATAACTGATCTGAGTGCTGATAACCACATCGGAATGTGCGTCAGAAAACCATCCACAGCGCTGACTATAAAAGTGCTTAGTGTTTAAAAACATACAGCCCTGGTTATGCTGACAGCGGGAATATGAAACATGTGCTTACGACACAGTGCTTTATTGAGAGTCTGAACCGAAGAAGCATAAGCCATGGTTCGATGAAGGATGCTCAAAATTATTAGATCAAAGAAAGCAGGCAAAATTGCAGTGGTCACAGGATCCAAGCAAAATAAATGGGGATAATCTAAACAATATAAGACGTGAAACCAGCAGTCATTTCAGGAACAAAAAGAGGAAATATCTGAAAGACAAAATTGATGAGCTTGCAATGAACAGTAAGATCAAGAACATTAGAGACCTGTATTGAGGAATAAATTACTTTAAAAGGGGTTACCAACCTAGCAGTAACTTAGTGAAGGATGAGAATGGTGATCTGCTTGCAGATTCCCAAAATATTTTGAATAGGTGGAGGAACTACTCCTCTCAGTTATTGAATGTACATAGGGCCAGTGATGTTAAGCAGACACAAATCGATATAGCTGAGCCGTTAATACCTGATCCTAGCCCTTTTGAGGTTTAAATTGCTATTGCAAAATTGAGACGGTATAAATCGCCAGGTAGTGATCAAATTCCGGCAGAATTTAATCAAGCAGGAGGCGAAATATTACGTTCTAAGATCCACAATCTAATTACTTCTATTTGGCATAAGGAAAAATTGCCTGATCAGTGGAAGGAGTCTATTATTGTACCATGAAGAAAGTCGTCTTCTGGGATCTGGCGCCGTGTATTCGTTTTAACCGACGTTTCGGAGGAACTTCCCAATCAATGCTGCTACAGCTATCTCTATTCGCACGCAACTCAACTACCCTGAAGATGGAGGCGATATGTTCCTCCGAAACGTCGGTTAAAACGAAGAATACATGGCGCCAGATCCCAGAAGACG